AGGTCTATGATAATTTATGGCGTTGGTAAGAAAAATGTTAATTTATGGCCAAAAAAAAATTGTAATATAATGCGAGTGTGTGGAAAATTAGAGTGGGAATCAGACATTATTATTCATATTTTTTCTCAAAAAATATTTTTTATTTACTTGCAATTTTCACACTTTTCCTTTGTTCGTGCAGCAGTGCATGGTTCGTACAAGTTTAGGAAGTCTGAACTTCTGAAGGTTATTCAGTGGTAAAATGCAAACATGAAAAATAGATTAAAACGTTTAATCCTCTTAATCCTCGTCTTAACATAGTTTTTGAGTATATGTTAAAAAATATAAAATATTTTAAATTTCTCAAAATATAATTAATACAACATTTTTCCCCTAAAAATATCCTTAATTAGAGGACGTACACCCTCCAATTCTTAATATAAAACAAAGTTTGAAAGTATTTTTTGTTCTTAATATAAAACAAATTAAGTTTGAGCAACTAATTTTATTTTCTAAATTTACCTTTTTTTACTTTTTATATATGATTTGAATTCTCAAACAACAATTTATTATGTTTATTAATTGTAAATTAAAGAAGAGTAAAATTAAAAATTTACATTTTTTAAAATTTTAATGATATGACTAATAAGCATAAAGTTGTTTAACTTTGCCTTATATAAAGAATTGAGAAAGTGATTATAATTTTTTTATTGAAGGAAGATAAATATGAAAATAATGCATTAGTTTAAGTGTTATTAGCAAATTTATTAAAAAATATAAATTAATTAAAAGTGTCTTATAATTTTTAATAAAAGGAGTAGTACTTCCTAGCTCCATTAAAAAATATAATTCATTTTTAAACAAACCTCACTTTTCAATAATTTAATTAATTATCTTTAAATTGATACTATTTTTTATATTTGTATTTATTTGATAGAGTATTTTACTTAAATGTCAAGGGTTGATTGATTTATTTATTGCAGGTATTTTTTTAAAATCATTAATTATATATTAAAAAATTAAAACTATCTTGAATGATTATGATTAGTGAAGTGGAGAGAAAATGATAATAAGAAAATGGAAAGGTTCTGTGTTCATATTATTTGAAAAACTAATCTAAAAAAAAAATCTTATATTTTTTTTAAATAAATGAAGTATTTATTAAAAAAAAGAAAATAAAAAAGTCTTCATTGAAAATTGAATGAAGGATGATTGACCATTCAACCAAGAGTCTGCGGGGTTTGGTGGGATCCTTTGGAATTTACTTCATGATTTAACATTTTTATTAACGAGGGGATTATTTCTCCGATTGCTTCGAAAAGTGCACGATCAAGTTGACTTTCGTCACATTAAAACTTTCTATGCTCTAAATTTCTATAATGGAGACTCAATATATATAATTTAACGTATATTAACTTCTTTCATTGGATGAGAAAATGACTTTAATATTCACCACATTTACAAGAGCAATCTCAATGACAGCATTTGTCTTTTCGATAGAAAAATTAACAGAATCACCCACCACTGAGTGCTTGGTCCAACTAATTATAGAACTGTATCAACTTAAATAAAAGTCTTAAATTTAAATCCTAGAAATATGACCATATTAAAAACTCAGTAGAAGAGTTTGTCGCTCAAAAGAGTCCCACAAACAATTACTCGATTTGGACTAATAGGAGCTCCGTTAAGTTCCTTCAGCTAAAACCGAGCAATATGCAATATTGGGGTATTGGGAGGGGGGGTGATCTAACAAAGACATGAGTGAGGTATGTCTAGTGGAGATAAAGGAGAAATGATCAAGACAATGATAAAAGAAATAAATAAGTCTCTGAGGATGAAATTCAAATAATTATTTTAACAATAATGCTCTTTTAAAAAATTTAAAATTGACCCAAAGTGGTGTGTTTTGTCATTATTGTTTCCGATAGTTGAATAATAGATATTGTCGAAGCAATTTAAATTAGTGTCAAATCAAAATCTAGGATAAATTATGGATCAAGTTTGAACAAAATGCAAGGGGGTAGTTGAATGAATTAATATATATCCAATTAACTTATGGTCTCAAAACATATTAATCAAATTGATGCAACGGCGAAGACAGAGCAAGTCAATTTGGCAAATCTCTCTAAACCTAACTCAAATAGAATATGTGGGCTAAATTGATTCACCCTCTTGTTTGTCTGTTATGTATCTTTGGAGGCGACATCAAATAATTAACCCTAAAAACGATCCATTTAATTCACAATCAATTACGAAATGAACATTATTGTCGTTGTCTTATCAACGAAATTATGGTGGGTAGTTAAATTAGAAGCCAAAATAGAATTAGAACTCTAATATGTGAGTGCAATATAATACAGAATTTCTGAAAACCGTGGTGTGCAATCCATGAAATTATTAATTAACATATTTATAATCATATGAAGAAATTTCCTTTTTTTTTGTCACCTATCTAATTAATATTCGATATCACAGACTAATATTCATCATATTCAGTATTATATATTACTATGGAGTCTTGAATGTCAAATAGAAGATAGTTTTCCTAACGTGATTATTTCCACTTACAAGACTATATGTTTAATTAACATTCTGGCTTCGTTTAAAAGGCATATCAATTATCAATTTTTTTTTAATAAACTCAACGCCTTTGATAATCAAGTAATATTTAAACGTTATGAACTAATCCCTTTATTTTTTTTATTTTAGGAAAAATTGTCATGTGTTTCATTATTTTTTATAAGAAAAATTATAAAATTCAAGAAGTATTATTTATCATATTTTTTTTCAAATTATCTTTCGTAAAATTAGAGTTTATTTTTGCAAGACAAACTCGATTCCTTTACATGCAAAAGATTAATTACAACGGTATTTTAGTTTTTTTTTTAATTTTAAACATAATTATCATGCTAAACCATCTTTCTTAAACAACACATGGGTGACTAACTTGATTGTGAAAATTTTTCTTACATTTGAATAGAGAGAGAACAAGAGTCTCTCAAGCAAGCTATACGTGTGGGAAAATCCAGAAAAAACAGATTAAGTAGATATATTATCTTCATTATTCATGATTAACTCGAGATTTTTTTAAGAAAAAAAACATTGTACTCGCACAACTCCGACAGAGTCTATCTTTCCCATGCATGGAATAGACATTCTTCTCCAAAATGAAGTTATTAATTTCCTTTGATATAGCGCAGCAGAATTATATTAAATGCAATCTCTGGGCAAATCGTTATAACAATAACATGAATGGTTCTCGTTCAAAACTGCGATAATTAATCTTAGTTAATCAGAAAAAATCCAACTTGTCTTCTTCTTCTTCTTCATCCTCTTCTAAACAGCTGGGATCATTTTCTCTCTCATGATTTTGCTATCCTTTTAAGTAACTCCATTGACTTTTATGCTTGTCAACTCCTTCTCTCTCTCTCTATATATATATATATATATATATATCTATCTATCTATTCGAGCTCGTTGGACACTCCACGTGGAGACTGTAGTTAGAAGACTATTAAGTATTATATTGTGACTAGCTCACCTTAAAGGCAAGCCTCAAATAATATGTAGCAAGTGAATTGTAAATGGAAAACGATTCTTTTCACATTCTCAAAATTTCAATGTTTTTCTATCACCTACATTTAATGTCTTGGCGATTAATATTTATATAATATCGCCAATCATTTTAATTCATATTATGTATAAAAGTTTTTGGGAGAATAGAATCCAAGGATCTTTCAAGAGAATTAATTATTTACAGATAAGGATTTATAACAAATAATTTAGTATTGGCCCTTATTTATGAATAATTTTTTTGAGATGTCCTTGGATGTGATTCTCCCAAAGATTTTTTGAGGCAATATTTTTATATGTCATTAGGTATAAACTTAGTATGTATCAAAATTATTAAACTTAATGTTTACCCAAAACAAACCAAAGAATCAAACTACAGTTGTAAGAGGTAAGAAAACTCACTGGAGTTAGTAAAAAAAATAGATACATCAAATAGTTCAAAATTAATTGATTGTTGTATATATTTTATACATATACTAGGGTCGTACATGAACAATGCTGAACAGGGTAATTAAGAGTCTAATACATTTGCCCGACATTTTGGGCTAGGGGCGCTATCAGGTTGCCCTGCCCATGATAACATGGGGGAAAAAAATTACCTCCCAAAATGATGTTCTATGAATTCTTAATGAAGCCAAATAAAATCAATATATATAAATAAACCAAAACATGAAATGACTAATAAAAAGTGGAAATAAAAATTAAACCCCTTCCCTCTATCTGCAGAAGAAATCGTGTGTATACATATGGAATATATATATATATATATATAATTATATATAAACCTTGATCTTATGAGTCAAACACGCAACACGACATACATCCTGTAATATTTACACTACAAAAAAATAGTATATAGTAGCGGTTGTATAGTAGTAATTAGTCAAAAACCCTACAATCTTGAACGATGGTAGCGATTTTACAACAAACTGCTACCATTTCATCATGATTTGACCATTACCATTTGGCATGAAGTATAGTAGCTATTATAGTAGCGATTCTTGGTGCCAAACCACAACAAAGCCTTGCACCGATTGCTTCAAAACCGTTATAATATGTTTTTTTTTTTTTAATATATAGTGCAACCCCACCCAATGTTCAACCCAACCCCAAATTGTCTAAATTCTTTCTGGCCGTATTTTTTTGGGCTGGACTGGGCGACCTTTTACCGGGTTGGGTTGTGAGTCTTGCGACAAGCAACCCCAGAATAAACTAATCAAAAATGAAAAAAAAAAAATAATTGTTATTTGGTCCATTTAAATTCCCAAGAAATTCAGAGTTGGTCACTATGTCTAGTTAGAGTGGTTGGCTCGCTGGTGCAAGTTGCTTGGGATTTGGTCAATGGCTTAAGCTTCACTTCCCTCGTATATATCACCGTCGCGAAAATCTTGTTATGTCATTAAAGTTAAAACAACCAAACTATATCTCAAAGTTAGGCAGAGAGAAGAAAAACAAGAAACGAATTATCATTAACCAGTCATAAAATTACACGGAGACTACAAATATATCAAAACATAAATAAAGGATATTATACTCATAATGGACAATATCTACAAAAAGAAACACAAGAATACACGTAGTATACACGTAATAAAGCTGTAATTAACGTAAAATCACTAAGCATTAATCTCTTGGAATAAAGAGTCTTCTAGAAACAGCTCAGACTCAGGCCAAGTGTATTGACCCACAACATCACCAAAATCGCAAGCCGCATCGGCGATACTATTATCAGTCACCGAAGTACTGATGATAGCATGTGTGGCCGCCGGCGCCATAGTCGTCTCAGCCTGAACACAGTGAAGCCACGTAGAAGAATTGGGAGAACCACTCTCTTCCTTGTTCACTGTACAATATTCTGGGATTTGAACCATGTCTTCTTTACTAAGTAATGGAGGTATTTGATAGGTAGAAGAAGAAGATGATGAATGAGTAAGTAACTCAGGCACGTGAGAAAAAGCTATAGAGGATTCATTGACGACGTTGTTGTCGTCTAACTGAATTAGAGAACTCAAATGGTTGAAACTGTCCATGTTCATCATAACGTTCGGGTTTGCTTGATGAGTGGTACTGGTGCGATCTGTAATTGCTTGAGGTTGAATACTATGTTGCAGAAATTGAAGGCTCGAAGCATTATGGTCAAGAAGTTGCTTAAGATTTGCCAGAGCCAGAAGATGAGAGAGGCTAGAGAAGATATCAGTTCGAGGTTGGTGAGTCATGGGATCGTAGCCCATTTGAATCAGCTTCTTCTTCAGATGAGTGTTCCAGAAGTTCTTTATTTCGTTATCAGTCCGACCTGGCAAGTGCCTCGCAATCGCTGACCATCTGGGAAATACATAGTGCAAGCAGAAACATTATTAAACACATCAATTATTCCCAACAACATTAAATCACTGTTGAAACTTAAAACATATAGTAATTACTTGTTGCCCAGGATAGCATGAAGTTCCAGAATTGTCTGTTCTTCCTCTTTGGAAAATTTCCCTCTCCTTATGTCTGGTCTCAAGTAGTTAGTCCATCTTAACCTGCAACTCTTCCCACATCTGTTGAGCCCTGCATAATCAATCACCCACACCACATTTGATTAATCAGAGACTCAATACATGATATATATATATATATATAAATAGAGAGAGAGAGAGAGAGAGAGAGAGAGAGAGAATAGTGTATATATATACCTGCAAGTTTAGGGAGAGACCTCCAGCTTCCATGGCCGTGTTTCTGAATGTAGTGAACAAGCTTGTGATCTTCTTCAGGAGTCCAAGGTCCTTTCTTCAAACCAGTCTCATCACTGAACGGAGATCTTCCCATTTCTGGCTATCTAATATATATATTCAAACTTGCTTTTGCTGGGTTCAAAGAAGAAGGAGAAGAAGAAGGTTGTCTTTGAGGATTATTTGCTCCTTCAAGTTCAGTTCAGGGGCTCCTAATAAGGGAAAGGACTGAACTGCGTCTCGTTACACTCACAATATCTGAAGTTTCATCCATCAGCTTCCTATTTATAAACAGTCCATTGCTTCTCTTTCGCCGTCTCACGAGTTGAACGAGGCGTACAACACAGTGTTTGCGAGCCTCAAATAAATAATAAATGAATGAATGAATAATACCATATCTTGCACCAATTATTGCAATTGTTGTTCCCTTTTAATAGCATTAAACAATTATCCACGTACCAATAATAGTCAATATTAATGTTCGATTATAAAACACAAAATTCATAACAAATCACACACACACACACACACACACACACTCTCTCTCTCTCTCTCTCTCTCTCTCTCTCTCTCTCAAACTTAAAATTGTGTATAATTCATGCATCAATCTGCATATCATGTAAGGAGGCCACCCACATCTAAAAGTTTAAAAAGTTATATCATATGAACAAAAAGTCTAAAACTTAACTGTAAAATTAACTTATACTTTTAAATATAAGAAATACTCTCTTTTATTTTAAATATTAGCTAAGCTAGCTGGAAACAATAAATCATATTTTTAATTTATAATGGCAAAGTTTGACTTAACAATCGAAAATTTTCGTAGTATTTATTTACCATTAATCTAGACATGCTTTTCTTAAACATACTACTATTTTACTGTGGTAATAAGTACTTTATATTTTATAGTAACAACTACCTTTTTTTTTTTTCAAAAGAGCGGACTCAAAAGTAGACTTTTCTAATATATATCCAAATAAAATATTATAATTTAAAAAAACAGTATTTTTATTCTTAGTTAATTCAGACGCCATGCACAGCACAAGCCTCCAGATTAAATTAAATTACATATGTAGACATTTTTTTTGGATATTGCGCAGTACTAATTCAAACGGGTTGCTTTCTTTTGTTGTTATTGGAGTACGGATTAACTGTTTATGTTTAACCAATAGGGATCAGGATTTTAAGTCAGCGGCCATATAGCAGGTGGACGCTCGTAGGTGGTTATAATGATAATAGTAATAATACTCATTTCATTTGAAATTATAAAATATTTTAAAAAAGATTAACATTTCAAAATATAAAATATTTTAATAAAAATAAAGTTTAATTAATGATATCATTTATAATTTTTATATATTTTTTTAACATTCTTTTATTAATAAAATATTTAATGAAGAATATTTTTAAAAATTTATATTTTTATTTTAAAAAAAATGAAGTTATAAATTACATTTAATGAGCTTTATTAATATATAAATATTTATTTAAAAATATTTTATAATTTAAAATGGAAGGAGTAATAATGTGCCATGTCCCTACGATTTAAAATTAAAATTATGTATACGCTTCCAGTTTTCCTTCTGTTTCGTCAGTAATTCATATTTGTATTGTTTGCATAGATTACTTTATTTTTTTTTCCTTTTTAAATGAAGAAAAGGCACGTATACTGGCTCGCAGAACAAAACTTATTCGCATGGGTTTAATATTTATATTCCATGAATGCTTTTCTTTTTCTTTTTTTTTCTTTTCTTTTCTTTTCTTTTTTCTTTTTTTTTTTTGCTCCAGATTCCACGAATGTACTTTGCATGTATACAAAGGCGACTTTGCCACTTTGGGAACTTTCCTGTCCTCTTACGCAACTTAATTACATTAATTTTTTTATACTTATATAGTAAAAAAGGATAAAAAATATATAATTATACGTACATATTTTATATTATATATATATATATTTATGAATGTAAACAAATATAAATTGCTTAGTTTTAATTAATGTTCGTTCTTGTTCTTAGTGATGACAAGTTACTTGAACACAAAATAATATCATGAAACTGAAATAAAAATATTAATACTTATTTATGAAAATAAATAAATAATTGTGATATAATAAATGGTTTCTATTTCAATGTTTACGCATTAAGAAATATATACTTCATTTATCTCCGTGCAACCACGCAGCCATGCATTAGCTAGATTGTTTAGTATAATGTGTGCGTACATGAATCGATTTTTTCACTTATTATGCTTATTAAAAATTAATAATAAATATATAAAAACAATTTCCTTTTATACTTCTCTATTATTCACTACGTACATAATTTCAAGTTAATTAGTTTCAATTAACAAATCTTGCAAGAGAAAAAAATGACAAAAAAAAAAAGTTTTGAGGTCTTACGTTCGAGTCCATGAAAATGCAGAAAATATATTCAAGAGAGCAACCTTCAGTTAACCCTGACAATACTTAAATCAAGCCCAATCAGATAGCTATGTCAAAAAAATGGCAAGAAAAAAATAAGAACAAAAATTGATCTTCATATTTTTAAACATAAAAAGTATCGTTTAAGTCTTTTTAATCCTGTCTTGCTATTATCCGATTTCTGTGTATATATCAGACAGTAGGCTAGTTACTACCACCAGACGGCAAGCATGAAAAATGTTATACGTGAAGCTCTCTCTGTAAGAACAAAAGCTTATGTACAATGTTCATTTTTCAACATTGTTAGGTGTTGGTGATTAATATTATTAAATAATAATATTATTATTATTATCATTAATATTATATAATATTTCTGGAAGGAAACAACGAACTGATGTCACGTAAGAAAAAATGTAGGTGAAATTGTGACAAAGCTTTGATTGAGATGAAGACATATAAGAAATTAAGAAGAGATAGATATAGTGATTCATTGTTAAGCTATCTATTTATGTGTTAGACGAGAAGTGGGTGAGGCAAAGATCTGTTTTAAGTTCTTACGTTCTTTCTAACTCTAACTTCCCTTTGAATTGATCTCTCCATTTTCTTATTATAGCGTCTTGGGGAAGCCATTGATCGATGATTTGGTTCGTCGTCTTCGATGCTTTTTATATGTATTTGACTTCTTCTTCTTCTACGACGTCGTTTAATTTCTTCTTGTACCTGTCTTGTGTGTGTTCATGAATTCAGACAGCTTCCTAGCTCCCTGAAGACCAAAAATAATGCTATTTTAAGGAAGTCTTTTAGATCAAATTAAAAACGTATGTGATCGAGATGCTCATTTTTCAACCCTTCATTTTGGATTTTGGACATCATCAATATTAATACATACAAGACAACATACGTACGATCGAACTGATGTCACGCGTGCGTACCTTGTAGATCAATATTATTGATCATTTATTCATTTTATTGATACTTGGAGTAATGCTGGATCGTCTCTCTCAAAAACTCACTCTTTCCTGTTCTATTTATAAGATAAATAAAGAATTATGATTAAATTCAAGCATATATTGTCAAGTGATGGGGGAATTTGGATTCCATGAATAACTTTAAGTCCATTTATTCAATAAGTATCTTGACTACAGGTTTATAATTTTTGAATTTCATCAACATTTGAACATTATCATGATATATTTTCTTTCAAAAATTTAAAATAATTCTCACAATTATAACACTCCTCATATTATCTCCTCCATAAATTTGAGATTTAATACTTTTTATATTATATGATAAAATTTTTAACAGCAATTCAATTAAATCAAATGGTTGTTTACATGTGCTAATAGGCAGTATACAAACTCAAACTCAAGGTCTCATCTTTAAATAATCATAGTTATTTCCACTAAAACCAATGTCTATTAGTTATAACATTATATTATATAATTAATGGCGAAAAAAATAACAACCCAATATCATTTTCAACATATGTTTAAGTACCACATAAATCTATATCACTGCATACAGATTTATATACAGAAATAAAAGGGAGGAACTGTTCAAATAAATTTAATTTAAATGTGGTTTAATATGTTATTTAATTAGAGGCTTCTTCTTCGTTACGAAAAACGGTATTTAATAGGCCTTAGTCAAAAAAGTTAAGATAGAAGTAATCAGGGAAAAAAAAAAATCTCTCCCCGTATTAGTCAATGAATGTTGGTCTAGCTACTTGTAAGCATTGGTCTAGTAATTCACAAAAACTTGAGTACAAAAGCTTGATTTCGTTAATGTCACAACCTAATTGATAAGTAACTTGTTATATGTATTTTGTTAAGCAATGTTTAGTCGTAAGACATATAATATTATAAACCTAAACTGTCCTATCAAGAATCAATTTACTACATTTGAAACGATGCCTTAATACGTAAGGCCTTAAACCTAGGGTTAATGATGGGAAAGACAAAAGGAGAATGCTAATAAAAGGACCCAAAGATTAAATTAAGCTCAATAAGGATTATAATATTTAAAAAAAAAGGATTTGCACTTAAAATAATTTGTTGAGTTCAAAAAAAAATTTGTCAAATATATTATCACTTCTAATGATTTACTACTCTTATATCCTATTTGCAGATCTTAAAACTTGATTTAGCAGGTAAGATTTGTTAATATGTGAAGGAAAACGGTCTTCAAGTAATAATGTATTTGACAATTTTTTTCCTTTAAAAATTAATGAATCTTACTTAAAAAATTTTGTTCTGAGAGTTGCAAATCCAAGAATGAGAAAATAACAAATTTTAGACCAATTTATTAAAAGACCTTTAGTACTTATTTCATATTTTCAAATATTTTAATCTTTTTTTCAAATTTAATTCAATCTTTTAGTCTTTCAACGACGCCACTTTCTGAAAGACAAAAGGGTTAATTAAAATAATTAATTAAGATGCTGAGCACTTGAGCCGACACCAAATGAAACATATGGGTTATAAATTTTTTTGAGGTTGCTTGTTCAACTTGGTTTCATTGTCGAGCGGACCATCAAAGCAGCTTCTGGAATCGAAAAAACAAAACCACGTTTAACAGTTAATGATGTCAGCGCCTAAGAGTGAGATTCTTTTTGCATTAGAAAAAAATCAAACTTGTAATGATCCGCTAAACAACTGACTTGCTTCCTCGCTTAAGTTTCTAACCGTTACATCTAAACTCGGACTTTCTATGCTTCCCCCAATTTACCTCTCCTGTATGTTATCTCCTTCTAATTTATAAAATATTTTCAGATAACATCATGGATATCAATAAAATAAATTAAATACACTATATAACTTTATTTTTTTAAAAAAAGTATAACTTTTTAAAAATATCCTTAATTTAATACTATATTTGTGAAAGAATAATATTAAAGAGA